CCCATAGACGCGGGGAAGAAGAGGGGGGGATTTCTACCGTTCCCAAGTAAATTAATAGAACGAACCTAACTGAAAGTGAAACTCGGCTTTCTGATCTCCAATTTAGAGCCGTTATCTATTTAAACCACCTTCACGGAAAAAAACTTAACGCCCCTGGTATTCTTTATTAGTCACCCATCTAGGTTCTGACCAAGCTTGCATTTTTTTTTTTTTGATCGCACAGAAACCGATGTTCAAACTTAATATTGCAGTAAGCAGTTATTATTGGAGGTCGACGTCTCAGTACGTACTTTTGGTTATATATATATATATATTTAAATTGGATACACATATAAATTTTCTTTTTGAAAAATTCATTTATTATGATAAAAGTTCCATGTATTTCTTATAATGTACACTTATTCATACCAATGTACGTAAATTGTTGCAATTTTTCTATCCTTTGCTTAATGTTATTATTAATGTTATTACCTAGTTGTTGTTATCTAAAAGACCCTGTCTTCCCAACCTGTTCCGTCCTGAGTAATACGATAAACTACATCCAACAGCAAGGCCTCTGTTCAGGAGATGTTGGGGAACGTGGAACCACCTCTTAATTGCTGGTGTTCCCAGGTCCACCCTGAACCGGAGTGATAGCACCTGTTAGGGTCCCAGCTATGGGTAAATAGTTAACCCCAAACTGGGGTCAAGACACCACAAAAGTGTAAAAATAGGTTTTAACACCAGCAATACGTTTTTTGTAAACAAAATTACCAGCAATAAATTTTTGAAGAAAAAATTATTACCAGCAATACATTTTAAAATATATATGTGTGTGTGTATATATATATATATATATATATTAAAAGCAATATATTTTGGGGAAAAAATATTTTAAAAAAAATATTACCAGCAATAAAAAATATTGTCGGCATTAAATGACCCACTGAGGTTGATATGCCGTAAAAACAAAGCAAAGTAAACCCAGCCTGATCCCAGTAGCATAGGACAGAACAAAGCTATAACACTGGTGGATTAACCTAGTAACAATTGTTACAGGACCCGCTTTTTTTTTTTTTTTTTTTTTTTAGTGACCCCTTTTAATACTTTCAAGCTGTCTGTTGAAATCAGTATCTTACAATCCGACAATGTTAATGTTCACATGTCGGGGAGCTGTATGTTCAATTACTTGGTTAGTTGATTTTGTATAGCGGCATATAAACACCGCTATGGGTTATTTAATGCCGAAATCTAAATATTTTTGTACGTAATTTTACGCTTTCAACTACATATTTTGAATATGATTTTATACTTTCAAATTAAACGTACGTTTTTAAAATGATGAGTTTGTGGATGATAAAATGTATTGCTGGTAATTTTACTATAAAAAAATATTTTTATACTTTTATAGTGCTGTTGTCATTGTCAATTTGCTATAACAACGTAATGTTGGTCTTTTTATTATGAAAATGCACTTGATTTTTGCTTGGGTCTTCACCATTTTCCTAAAAGGTGCTACCATTCCGGATCAAGGTAGACCTGGAAACAATAGCAATTAAGAGGTGAATCCACGTTCCTTGAGACATCTAATCTCCCAATCAGAGATGTAGAATCAGATTCCTACATTTTTTTTTTTAAATCTTAAATTTTGTGCAAGTTAAACACATAGAGGCTCCCAACCAAATATAACAACTGATGTATTTTGATTGGTTGTAAAATATTAATTAACTGTCGTCAACTACGTCCGAAAGTACCGACCCAAATTTTGACCTAGTTGACGCCATAAAATGTAAACGTGGGCACTTAAAATATTGAACCAATTCACTTGACTTCATTGGAAATCAACACAGCAAAGGAGACGAATTTTATCCTCAATACAACGACAAACCTTGTCAACCATTTACAACAGGCTTAACGCTCACTCCCACAAAATATTCTATTCCACAAGAAGAATCTCTGGTTAAAGAGCGTTAACAATATAACAATCAGTGAGTCAAGAACAATACTTTTTTCTATTTAATACAGAAACAAAAACAACTGTTTAATTTTCCTATAAAAACAAATATAGCTAACTACACCTTCTCATTTTCACACGTACAGTACAGTAACTCAAATTCTTTCAGTAACACACACCAAAGAACTGTATCATGTTTATCAACTTTTGTACTATATATTATGTATTTGTTGTGTTTATAAAAAATATTTATTGTTAAACAAAAATTCATAATTTCTTCGATTATTTCTCTTATTGTTGTCTTTGTTACATTTGAATGTAAAAATTGTAGAGGGTTAGTTTTTATTTGTATTTATAACCAATACAAATTGGCTGACCCACTATAGAGATCTTGCTACCGAATAAAGTTTTTTCCTCAAATCCGAGTTAAGTATGTTCACTTTATTTATCATTTTCAGGTAACATTATTTCAAGATCTTTTAATCTACTTACATATGTCGTTAAAAAAAAAAAATCATTTGCTTCATTTCTTTTTCTGGATTTCTTTATGTTGAGACAAGTTAAATATTTACCCATTTTATAATCTCTATGCCAGTAAAAAACTTCTAACTAAATTAATATTTTTACGTGTACCGTATTTTTGTGACTATAATACGACCCAGTGTTTCTGAAACTAAAAACAATTACATCTTGTACAGCCATCCCCGTGTAAATTATTTTTTAAACTTGCATCATATTATCTATTCAAATATCAATGTTATATATATATATATATATATATATATATATAATTAACGGAGATATAATTTATTTTTCACTTACCTGATGTTATATTCAGGACCCCGAGTCCAAAGTTTTGTAGACAAACCTTTTTATAGTTGTTCGATCTACTAGTATAAACAATTGATTCTCTCTTTCTATATATATATATATATATATATATATATATATATATATAACCAAAAGTATGTACAGAGAAATGCCAGGTGCGTTAAGCTTAGATGTGCGGGTAAATAATTTTTTAAGCTTGCACCTTATCTATTCAAAATTCAATGTTTTTTATATATATATATATATATAAAGAACAGTAAGATATGTAATCTGGTGTTCTTATAGATATTTTTATTTTTACAAAATAGTGCTGAATGTAAATTTATAGAGCATTAATATTATAAATTAATTGATTTAAATTAAAGATATTAGTTCAATTTCATCCTCAAGTGAATTTTTTTTTTTTTTTTTGCTTGAGGATGAAATGAAACTAATGTCTTTAATTTAATTACAAATTTAAATTCGGGGCTTTTAGCTTCCATTTTTGAAACATGGTTAGAACTGTGTAGAGAAAAAAAACACTTTAAATCAATTAATTTATTATATATATATATATATATATATATATATATATCTCAATTACTAAAATATTTAACTTTTCAAGATAAAGAATAGGAATGAACCGGATGTTTAATTATTGTGTTTCTTCGAAATTCAGTTTTCAAACTTATTTTTGAATTTTCGTGGAAAGGCCTAACTAGACAGACCCGGTAATACATTTTAAGGTGTGAATTAATGTACCAGACATTTCTGTTTAGATAATAATAAAATTCTGTTTAGTATATTGATAAACTATGAAAAAAAAATATGTATATATATTTTCTTTAATTAAAATCCAGTTTAAATGAAAATTTTAGTATATATTCATTAATTATTTACTTTTATAATGAATATTTTTTTTTTTTAATTTTTAAAAACAATCTGAGAAAATGTCATTCTTTTTGTAATAAATACTAATATTTTCATGACTAAATTTTACTCGGGGAAAAAAAAAAAAAAAAAAAAGTTTAAGTTGCAACTTTTTATATTTCCATAAAAATTAATCGCCGAAGCATCTCCGATGAAAAGAAAAAAGTTCCAACACAACACATAAAAATCCCCGACAAACTGAATTTTCTTAAAAAAAAAAAAAAATCCCCCCCTCCTAAAAAAAAAAAAACGGTGCTAATGCATGACAGGACTTGATGTTTTACTGTTTTGCCAATCGTTTGATGGAAAAATTAGAGCCAATTAGAGGTTTTATGGTTAGTGGTAGGCTAGGGGTAGAACTTTTCCGTAAACGTTTGAATGAGATAATCCGCAATTTACAATTACATTGATAGCGTCTCTTCCTAGCATCTCTTTCACCGGGTTCTGTTATGCATTTGCACCAAAAAAAAAAAAAAAACTCAAAAAAACCTGATTCATACAATTCATAGCTAAATAAATGCATAAATTGATTTAAAAGAACGATTCAGAAAGAAAATTACGCTTAAAAAAAAAAAGTAAGCGCAACTGAAATTAGCACTTCTCCCCACCTCCTTACCAATAGGCATGGAGCCCCCACGCGGTTGAGAGGTTCAGGGTAGTAAACACCGGCCCTGCCGATTATTATAGTTGATGATCGACTTAATAACTTAGGTAGGAAAAAAAGTAAAAACTATATATATAAAAAAAAAAACACTGCTGAAACTAGCCCTTTTTAGGGCTCCAACCTTGTCGGGGGTTCCTGTTTAGAACGCACCTCACCAGCCATGCAGATATACGATGTATATTAGTAGTTGATGACTGACAATGTAACGTCAGTTTAAAAATAATTTTAAAAAAATGGATAGCCATAAAACTGTGTTGAAAAAAAAAAATGGCAGATACCACAGCGGGGGTATCCTCTCTGGTCGGAGATTTCGGGGGTAAGACACGCCGGCCCTGATGCTGAGAGTTACGACTCAATATCGTGGTGTTTTGAGAGTTACTGGATTTAAAAAATATGCTAAAAAATTATATAAAATAAAAGATTTAACACAAACGTTTTCTAGCTGTAACAAACTTAAACAAAAGCAAAGTACAAGCAGATAAAAGAAATAGCAGACCGTGACAAAAATATAAGTGTTTAAAATATTCACACGTCACGATGAATGAGAAAAAAAATACTTTCATGTGAATATTCCCTGTGTGAACAAAGTCTACTAGTTAAAACGAGAAGGCTTATATACTGACATCGGTGATTCAGTTTTTAAAACAAAGTACACGACCTTACCTGGGGCTAAGTATGAAACTAGCAAAAGTAACAATGAAGCCAAAGGTGGAGATCGAGAAACGCTGTACCGTCTTGTCATGATGGTCAAAGATAGCCAAGCTGACTGATTAAAAACCAAACGTAAAAGACAAGGTCATATATCTACGCCTTCCGGGTTTATAAAATGTCACATGACTAGATGACGTTTTACGTTGCGACAACCATAAAAAAAATGGGTTGCAACTCAAACGAGAAACAATGAAAGGCGTGAAACGCCATAAAAATATGTACGCCCAGAAGAGATTCGACGATCTTAGATACACTCAGATATATGCACACACGCATTTACAATGATTTACTAAGCGTGATGGTTAGATGTAGTACTAGGCCATAAGCTCGTTAACTATTACACCACGTCGAAGCGCCTCATATATATATATATATATATATATATATATATAAAATAAATATAAGTAATTATACTCGTCTGGAAAAATCTTAGGTGTTTTGGCTTGTAAATGAAGAAACCAATCCCCAAGGCAAAAAAAAAGGAATATAAAAAGAAAGAACTAAGGACATGTAATTCAGGGGAAAGCAATCGTCTAGAATCCAAGCTCAGAGTCCAAAGAAAAAAAACCCTCCAACACGAGTAAAGCAAAAGTAACTAAGCAAAGGGCCAGCGTACCCTGACGATCGGCGTAGGTGAAACCTAGGTAGGTTTGCCTGGCTCTTTAGGTTCATAGTTATATATATATATATATATATATATATATATATATATATATATATATATATATAGATATATAAATTTCTATATACCATAACAATGTTAGGTAATTGAATGACAAAGTTACAAAAGTTTTATGTAATGCATTTCCTCCTCCAAACAAATTTCTTCGAAGAAGGACGGTTTTTACCAAGATCCCCGGCTTCACTCTCAAATCAATTTTTATTTATTGATGTTAGAAATCAGTTGTTGACAGCAGGCAGTCTAAATATTTCTAAACGGGTTTGTTCAGAAATATCTAAACTGTCCTCTATCCATGATAGCCATATGAAAGTCTTCATCTGACGAGGCTATTTAAGACCTTGGCTCGAGTTTCAGGAAAAGTCCACCAAATGTTAGCGCCTACTATGATACCCAGATTTGAATCTCACCATGGTCGATTTGTCAAAGATGCGACATTTTTTTCTTTCTCTTTTATTTAATCCTTTCAATCCAAGGTAGGCAATAAAGCCACTAAGATTCATGGAGGGAGTACCTAGTGTGAAAAAATATAAGAAAAAAAAAGGATTATTAAGGAGAGAGAACAACAAAGGAACAGAAGATAATTGAAGATAATTAAGAAGATAATTGACATTTAAATCTTTGAAGATCAAATTTGGCTGGAAAGCAAGAGGCCGAAAAAAGTTCCACAAGTGTAAAGTGCGAGCATAGAACTTACGGTTAGATCTAGCCATTTCAACTGTAAAATGATAAGACCTTTCCGCCAATCGAGTACTGCGTTAAAATTCATAAAATCTAGGTACCATCGAGGGAAGTTCATCAGATTTATAGAAGAGGCACAGGGAAGCTAGATTAGGGCGGTTGGAAACTTAGTCATATCAAAGATGTCGCCAGTGTGCGGCACAGTTGGAAAGTGCCCGGAAATCCCATCGGTTGACCCAAGCCTTGTGAGTGAAATTGGGTACACAGTTTTGTTTTTATTTAGCCTCAAATAACTTTAGCTGGGACCGGTCATACTTAGAAAATTAAACTGCTCTCTCGAGTGGTTTACACGCTCTGATACTTACCGGGCACAGGGATACGCCCCTGCGCTGGGAGTATCATGGCTACGACTGGCTTGGACCGGATCTGTCCAGCTTGGACCAGCTATGACTAGATTAAACCAGCTCTGACCAGCTTGAACAAGCTATGACTAGTTAAGACCAGCGGCCTGAGTGAAGACACTCGGGTCCCCACGTTAAAAACTGACCTTGTGTCACAACCTGATTCAGTGTGTGTGTGTGTGTTGGGGGGGTCAAGTAAATCTCTATTTAGCAAATTCTCAAGTTTGAGCCTCATTTCGTGCTTATCTTATACTCAGAATATAACCCTAGCGAGAGTTATAAATTTACAGTAATTCCCTATGTATAATACGCCTTCCTTCATAATACGCACACCTAAAATTGGGCTGAAAGTATGGGAAAAAGCTTCTACTTATGCATAATACGCACCCTTTGTTTGGGAATCAAATCTTATAACTTGTACCTCTCCAATTTCATTACAGCCAGCGTTTCCTACTCTTATTTGAAAAAAATGATTTTAAACATAGAATAATATTATTCTAAATTAGTTTTATGGTAATTCTTATTTTATGGCAATTTTTTAAAGATTTTTTGTAGCTGTGCATAATACGCACCCCTGATTTTGCTTATTATTTTTTTAGAAAAAAATGAGTATTATACGGTAAGTTATTTTCCGTAAGTTTCGTAAAAAATGACTGAATTCATTCTTAAAATAGGCTTAATTTTGAGTCTTCCCATGTTTATAAGTGTCATGCTCATAAAAAATAAAAGTCTAGACGAAAACTATCCGACATTAAACATCGATAGTTGTTTTAGCACGAAGTTACAAGTCATTGTGACGGAGCTTTTTAGTGTACTGGCCTTGCTCGACGACTGATTGCACCAGATTATGCGCTCTCTCCCAAAAAACTCAGAATAGATGCATTATAAAGCAAAAATTGGCTCTATGGGTGTTGAAGACATACAAATATGCCTGGGTAGACGTCTGCAACAGGGATTAGTTAGCTATCATAGAAGACGAGAAAACATTAAGCCGTTATTATATTGGCGTTAGTTGTTTGAGCGATAATATAAGCCACAGTTTCAAATTCTTCTTTGTGCAGTGTTCCTTCAAGACGTAGGCGACCATATTTCTCCACATTTTCCTATCAGTTGTAGCGCTTAATAAAGTTTATCTTCTTACTATCTATCCTAATCCCTGTTCTGCCAACCATTTAGGCATGCTCGTTACGTAGGTTATCTGCTGCTTTCCTCTATTCCACTTGCCTTCAACGTGTCATGTGAGTGTCAATTTTGCCAAGCTCTCTTTTCTCATCATGTGTCCAAGAAACATCAACTGTCTTTTTCCGATAAGTATGTATTCAATTTGTGTAAAACTTCGTTATTGTTCGCATGTCCAGACCATACCATCGTCAGCATCCTTCTGGAGAACAATATTTCTGTTGCCTTAACGAATAGTTAGTCTAAAGCAAAAATCCCTTTTTCATACTTGTTTTAACAAATGCAAGTACAAATCCGGAATGTACTCAGACGGAAACATTGTCTCTTTAACAACCTGGATGGGTATCTTCCTTTATGCGCACTGTCTCTTCAAAACGCGGGCGATCATGACTCTCCACAACTTCTTTGTTGTTCTAAACAACATTTTGACTCTTTACCGTCTCTCTTTCTTCCCGTTCTGTGATCCATTCGCGCAAACTGTTTCCCTCCAGTATACACTGTAAGAATTAAATTCGCCAAACCCTCTTTCCTCATTATGAGCCTCGAAATCTCAGTTGTCTCGTTCCCGTTCTATGTATGTCATTTTAGCTACTATTTTCTCTGCCTCGTTGCTTAGTCTACTGTACCCTTCGTGTCCATCTATAGAACCACACCCCTGTCATCTCCAGCGTCTGTACAGAAATTGTCTAGCATTCACTGCTATGTAAGAGGATAGCAGTCCAGCTCTCTTTTCTTTGCTTTCAATAAAAATTTTCCTATTTCTTACTACTTGGCTTATTTTCGGGAAGCCATCTTTCGCTATTGATATCCGTCTTCGAATTGCCGTGTCACATATTCCATCATTTGTTACTGCGCTACCCAGACACGTCCGAATAGATTATAGCATATAGAAATGCATAGAATCTGTGTTTTTCTTGGTCGACAAGCAAATCGTCAAGCAAGGGCCAGTTACTTCGAGACAAAACGGCAAAAACCTACATTTTGATGAGAATGAGATAAGTCTGGTACAGGGTCACGAAGATGTCATTTTCAACGCGAATCGCTGATATAAGTTAAATCAGTCCCGTAGGTCTATTAGTATGGCTGGATGGGTGGATGGATGGATGGCCAGTCAGTGCGCAAGAGAAATATTTTAATCATATTCTCAACTAACCGCTTTTAAAATTATCAAGGCTGAGATATAAATAACCATTAGTATTTATGGGTTTCGCATGAACCAATTAACTTATGACTACATTTGATAATATGCACCATTTTATATGTCTATATTTCTGAGATGAGGTATTATGTACATTATTTACATTATTCGAAAGATGAGCACAATATTCGAATAATGTAAATAATGTGCACCATTTTATATATATATATATATATATATATATATATATATATATATATATATATATATATAATATATAAAAAAATAATCACATAGAATCAATCAGCAATATTAATGCTATTATTGGCGACATCCATTCTATGTGTGATTATTTCTTTGTATATAAATTATATGCTGCCTAATGTTATATATATATATATATATATATATATATATATATATATATATATTAGAATCGATTTTTTTTATTAATCCGACAGATTTTTATCATTTTAAACGTCATTTTTAGCGGATATTCGTATTTGAGTAGGCAGCCCGTTTATTTATTAAACAGTATATTGATTTATTTTCGTCTACCGGCCTGAATGTTTGAGAAATCTTCTAAAAGAAAAATTTTTGTTATCCGGCGGGAATAGTAAGATTTTTCGAACATCAGGCTCGTAGACGAAAATGAATAAATATAATGTTTAATAATTACACGGAGCGTCTACTCTAATACGAGTATCCAATAAAAATAACGTTTAAAGTGATATATATATATATATATTGCATGAATCATTCATACAAAAAATAGATATAGAAGTTAATGATATAAATGGCGAGAATACATCTTCGCAAACAAATTTAATAAAATAACTGATCCGACGTGCGACTTTCGGATAATAACTGTGACATTCCTGTATTTATTGAACAATTTAGTTCATGTCACATTGACTGAAAAACCTACCAGTACAAAAGAATTCTCCTATTAC